TGTGGTATCACCTGGTATCACCTCTGAACTCTAGACAACAGATCTCTCCCTCCCCCTGGAGAAAATAACTGCTTTGGAGGGTGGACTCTGTGGCAAGGGAATGGTTTGATGGCCGCTGGCCCACCTCAGTAGCCAGCCAGCCATGGAGGGGCCAAGCAGGGGAAGCGTCTTTGTCAGGAGAGACAGCTGTTTTGGCAGTTTATTCTGATGGAACAGTGGCCAAACCAGCAGTGGGCAGGGGAGAGGAGAGGACCCAGCAACCAGCCAATGGCACGCGAGTACTCTTGTGTGGCAGTTGACGGGCCAATGGCTGATGGAGTGCACAGCACAGACAACGGGAGAGCCAGAAAGTGGCAATACTTTGGGCATATATATGGTGCTAAGCAGACCAAGCAATTTACAGCCATTGCATTAATCCCTACAGCTTTTATCTTATGATTTAGGTAGGTCAGAATTATTTTAACTTTATAGGTGGAGAAAATGGAGGTAGAAAATAGACATGTTGCTAAATTCTGGAATAAGTGAAAATTGTTGTTGCAATTTCCAGGTCACTCTGATGGATTTCCTGGACAATTGAATAGAGGATTTTCTAGAATCTGGTGATAGTTTCATCTGAATGTACAAACAGGCATTTTGGGGGCCTGGTACAAGGGGGCTCTGCTATACATGTGTGGATACATAGCCTTTATGTGCTAATATGCTCCATCCATTTGCAACTATTCTGTGTCCAGAATGGGAACTTCAGATTGGGGAAGTTTCTGTGAAGTATTCCTGACATCCAGCATGATTTAGTTGGAAAATCTGGTTCTGCCAAAGTAATTTTGCAGTGGGTCTAGCTGCCATATCAGTATCAAGGTTACAAAATATGTGGTCATTAATATTTTAAATAAGAAAGGTATCCTTTGTACGGATTATGCATAGTGGAGAACTGGCCATTATTAGACCCATCAAAAACTAGCATGCCTTTGAGGAATAATGATCCAAGGCTTGCCAGCAACTTCACAAAAAGTATTCGGCTTGGAAAGGGGATGTGGAACTGCAAAGACAATTTCATTAGCTTTGCACTAGAGAGTATTCTGTCAGCATTATGTACCCAATCCTGTCTGACTGACAACCATTATACTTCTTTCATGCTCACCCATTTGTACTGTGAATATGGAATGTGGGACCATTGCACATCTAACTTATGAGAGATGACTAGTATAGTTATGCCTTGAATGTGCTGTATTCCTAAATGCTAATCCCAAGTATGTTTGGAAATATGTAAGGGCCAGCTAATGTAAAACATATAGCACAAGCTGTGTTTTAGTATTCATCTTTCTGCATCTACTTGAAGCTTAGGCCGGGCCAAAGTAGCAAATATCTGTGTGTGTGTGTGTGTGTGTGTGTGGGGAAAATAGGTAGCTGAATAAGCCGCTTTCTGGATGTGTTGTCCAACCAAACTTGCTTGCAATGAACGTATGTACCATATATGTACTCTGTGTTTACTGCCTTTTTTGTTGTTCTGTTGCTTACATTGATCTGAACATGATGATTCCATAGATGGGCTCTTTGATCTTCTCTCTACAGGAATGTGCTGATGGCTGCCAAGAGGGCCAATCAGACTGGGCACTTCATCTGGATGGGCTCTGACAGCTGGGGCTCCAAAATTGCCCCAGTGAGAGATCTGGAAGAGGTGGCTGAAGGATCTGTTACCATCTTGCCCAAGAGGGCTTCTGTTAGAGGTATGTCTAGCAGCTTGCTGCCGTTTGGGGTTTTGAGGAGTGTTGAGATTTTAAAAATGATATTTTGGGGGAAGGCATTATGATAGAGCTAATACAATGTTATACAGTCATTGCCCCCCCCCATATGGGCTACATTCAGATATTGTTGACATTTTTGGTATGGTTGCTCTGTAGCAATAATTTACCTCCTGGATTATCTTGTTTACCAACAAAAATCTAGTTGTGAATGATTTCAGTACTGCAAAACTAGCATAAAGTGTGGATGCCGCCACAGTTTCTGGTTGAATAGGTTCTGCCTGTTTTTTTTAAGCATTACAAAACCTGGCAAACCCTGTTTGATCAAAAACAATAGGGGGATGAATGTGCACACCATGGGCTGCACTGAATATTTTTTGTCTCCAGCCATAGTGTTCCTTCATATGTCTCCTCATGCTGAGAATGAAGTTGTACTGAATTTGAACTACCCATTTTGTCTAAATCTAATAGCTGCTTACCTATGGTTTCTCTCCCATCTATCACCTTTTCATAAAAACAATGGCCAGAGAACATTTTGAAAGAGTTATCTGTAGATCTTCTAAGCTGTAATGCCTATGGAGGATAATGTGGAGCAAGTTTCTAATACACTGGACCCCACGGCGCCTCATCCTTTTGCTAGCAACCCCCCCTCTTCATACACACATACACACGCAAACACGCACTTCAGAAAATTCTTCCTTAGCAGCTCAATAATTATTGTGATACTTTCCTGAGAGTGACGAATCCAAGCTGAAATAGATGAAAGGTTAGCAAATGAAGGCAATATCAGGGCTGTTGCTGTGAATTTTAGGCGATAGTGTCATGGATATTCAGTAAAATGTATCATTTCTTTGTTGTGGGTGGATAGCTCATGTGCATTAGCCGAGAACATTGCCATGAAGATGATAAATGTATAATTAACAATACCTCTTCCCTTCTCTAGAAAGTCTGAGGTGTCACTTCTTGACATGACCAGTTACTACGGCCAGTCTCTCATGACAGCTTGCTAAGAGCAGGGCTCATTTGGCTTCCCAGTCTTCTCTTGCTTGGTGGCATGTCCCAGATACTCTTCACGTCCTCATGGGAAATCACTGCTACAGTGACAAATTTCAGATCCTTCTCGGCAAAATACTGAACATACAGGGTATAGATATCTCACCTCTAGGAACCCTTGCATTTTTTAAAAGTTCCTATTTGTCTCTTGACATCCCAGTATCAATCTTCTTACTTTCCCCAAGCATTAGCACTTCCTTGTCAGGTTTGTGAGCTGGTTTCCCCCTTATAGTTTTAATTGTAAAACAGTTATACACTGTTCTTCCATAGGCTCAGAGCAGCTGTCAGCAATTGTTTTAAACCCAGTTTGGAAAATAAAATCCCTGTTCTTTGGCTTGGATCAATTAAAAGAACAGTGTGCAAATAACTGCTCATGCCACAATAGTATGCTTACAATCCTCACTCTCCTGGTCTGCCTGAGAAAGACATGACTTATTGCTGATCTTGCAGATTATTATAGCAAATCATAAGAATGACCCACAGCATTTAAAGGGGGAGGGGAGGAATGCAAAACATGTAGTTTACCTTTGAGCTCTTGAGCTGTGTCTTGAATGGAAACCTATGCTAAATAACTGGGAAGCAGAATGTTTTCATCATGAAATGGAAATGTGCTGAGAATGCCTAGACATGAATTCTCTGACTAGCTTTGTTTCATATGTAATCTGATGAGTGTTCAAAAAGAGCTCCCACTTTTTTGCACTTTTCAGTAGTAATTTCATTGTTTCAGTGCTATTTTTTCTTAGCAATATGTGCCTCACAATCCTTGGCCTCACTATCCTTGGCTTTATTTGCCCACACTGCCACTGAAGCTTATTAGCGGGCAAACCATATGATTGTGGGTAACATCTAATATAATAATATAAATAATTTCATATCTTAAAAATATTAAATCAGATCAAATTTTACTATTAAAACATATTTAATCAGATTAAATGCTACCATACTAGTGTGGACAACTGAGGCTGGGGACAGTTAGACTGATTTCACACAAGAGCTGCGCCGTGGTCGCGCCTCCCTTTGCCCCAGTTCTATTGGTCAATTTCCCACTCGAATCGGCATGGGCGTGTTTTGACCCCCGGCTTCGCCCGATTTTCCCCACGGTTTTGTGATCCTGTTTTTTTGAGGATCACAAAACCGTGGGGAAAATCGGGCAAAGTTGCGGGTCAAAATGCGGCTGCGTGGCTTCGAGTGGGAAATTGACCAATAGAAGCGGGGCAAAGGGAGGCGCGACCGCGGCGGAGCTCTTGTGTGAAATCGGTCTTAGGGGAAATGGCACCTAGAAGGAGAATGAAAGCATTTGAAATGGCATCTAAACAATGTAGCTGTTTGACTAGCTGAGCATTCTCTCAATAATTTGTTCAGCCACATAGCATATATACATGAATTTCAAGATAACTAAAGAACGTCAAGGATATTCTGTGCAGTCCTAGTTCCGCTGCTTATTCAGTGTGGTCCTCTATGCTCATCATCCCATACCGGCAATGAAGATAATTGTATGAATATTTTGTTATGACTTGGTGCTGAATGGGCTGTGCATGCTCCTATAGTTCTGGGGCTGCCTTGTAGAAAGATTAAGCACCTATCTTAACTTGCTGAAGTGCATCCTGCTGCACTTTAGCATACGTTCCCCATCAGTTTGTTCTCTTTGTTTGTAAATCCTTTTCTAGGGCTTAAAAGCACCCTTTTCTTTGTGCGGAGAAGCTTTCTCTCTCTCTCTTTAAACATACTCTTAATTGAAAAGTTGTGAAAATTATTTTATTGTTTTCCCCTTCTTTTTTTGTTATTTCTCTGTTACTTTTCATTCTTTTTTAAATAAAAACTTTAATTCCATAAAAGAAAAGGCAAGAAAATTTGGTGCTGAAAAAGGTTTGGTATGTATGTGTGTGTATATATATATATAAAAAATATGCATTTTTTCAAAGTTTCTTCAAAGGTCATTTCCTCCCAAATGGTGTTCAAATATCACCTAGATATCTTCATCGATTCTGGATCTGTCAGTGAGCACAGTCCAGAAAGAAATTCTCCTGTGTATGCCTCATTGAAAGAAATGTGAGGAGCAGGAGAGGTTTGAAGTGGAGCGTCGCTGGCATTTCCCCCCATTTTTAATGGTCTCTGCTGTGTCCGAATTGCATTCTAGCCCGTCATATTATCCCCTGGCCTTCATTCCTTACTTTGTCCTTCCTTGCCTTGCTTAATCTAAATATTTGCTATCTGAATTAAATTCTGCTCTGGACTTCTGAGGGATGGAGAGATCTCTCAGTATCATTTAAAACATTCTGAAGTTTTCTTGCTGCCCACAGACAAGTCTTTCAAGGCCCAGGTACTTGCTCTTTTCTTCTTTTGTCCACCAGCTTGTACTCATCACCTGTTCACTAACAAGTTCCATCTAAAGCCCTTATGAAGAACTTCAACAAAAGCCTATTGAAAATTTACAAGCTTTCTCCACAGTGCTGCCTTTGCAGTGTCTGTATACCAGAAAACATACTCCCTGCCTGTGGAGAAAATTGGTTTATCTGTGCATTCTCACTTATGTGAGCATGGAGAGTTGTCCACCTATCTGTCTTTTAGTGAAAAGCTTAGACACCAATGAACTAATCTCTGTTAGCAAGGTGTACTGAAATAGAGGAGGGTCAGTTTCACTTTGGTTCCTCACAAGTTTCAACATGCAGATTGTAAGGACTTCAAAGTGCCCCCCCCCCCAAATCCGGGCAAAGACAGGCAAACATTTTGATGATATCAGAGAAGGCACATGGGGGGCAGGGTGAAGAATGAAGTCCTGGGGATGTGCAGAGTTTTCCCCCTAGCTTGGATTCCTGCCCCATACTGCCAGTCTATCTCCTAACCCAACCAATTTCCCCAAATCCATGAAAATAATAGAAACAGTTACCACTGTCCCTGTTCACTAGCCGCTAAAGACAATTATTAATCCTTTTTCAAAAAGAGCAAGAGAACTGAGGGAACAATAATGGTACCATGAGCTAAGGTAAGACCTAGATAGGCAGAAGGGTATTATTAAACTTTGTAAGCATAGATTTGTACTTTAAAAGGGATCTCATTTATTGTAAAGGAAAATCAAGTAAAATGAAGAAAACCTAAAAATTCCAAATGTTATAAAAATAGAAAATGAGGGCTCACAAACATTATCTTTAGCTGTCCAGTTAGGCTTTACCTACACAAGATTTCTGGAAATCTACTTTTTGTTAAAACCCATTATCTAGGTTATTATTGTTCTTTTTTTAAAAGCATTTTTAAACTTTAATAATATATCCTCCCAAGAAAATACAGCACTTACATATCAGAAAAGGGGAGAAAAAGGAGAGTCTTTCCTATATCTCTCTAAACTCCAGAAAGATTTTTTTAAAGGTCTGGACAAGAATTTTTTAAATATAGGTAACTTTAGAAAGTGATTTTGAGGTGTGCAACATTGATTTGAATCATTTCATACCACAATATATATGCATTTTAAAACTGCAGGCACAAAACCTTACAACTCAGACCAACTCAAATACAAAAACACAATTTTCCATGAGAACAAATTTAGAGTCCAGTAGCACCTTTAAAACCAATAAAGATTTTTTGTGTGCAAGGCACACTTTTTCAAATACATTGGAATGGTAGGTAAGGTCTACAAAATGTTTCATAGATGGCATTGGTCCCCGGAAAAAATAGCCAAATGTTACCCCGGATACCCCAGTCAATGTTGGAAGTGTAAGACCAATAAAAGGTCCTTTTTTCACATGTTGTGGACATGTAGCAGAGTTCAGGAATACTGGAAAATGGTGAGAAGACTGATTCAAGATATTATGTGTAAGAACCTAGCATTGGATCCAGGGATATATCTGTTAAACATGGTGCCTAAGGGTTATGGATTGCAGGACAAACATGTAATAGTATACATAATAACGGCTGCCCGTTTACTACTGGCCAAAAAT